CAACAACGGCAGCTGCTCAAACAACGACAACTGTCCCCACAACAACTGAAGCAACGACACCTGCTCCAAACACTGAGGCAACAACAACTGTTCCCACAACAACTGCATCAACAACTGAAGAAACAACACCTACTCCAACAACGACAACTGTCCCCACAACAACTGAAGTAACGACACCTACTCCAACAACTGAGGCGACAACGACATCTACCCCAACAACAACTGAAGCGACAACGACACCTGCTCAAACAACTCAAGCAACAACGACACCTGCTCCAACAGCTGAAGCAACAACCACACCTGCCCTGACAACAACTAAAACAATAATGACATCTTCTCCAACAACCGAAGCAACGACACCTTCCCCGACAACAACCGAAGCAACAACAACTGCACCAACAACGACACGTGCTTCAACAACTGAGGAAACAACAAGTGTCCTGACAACAACTGCATCAACAACGACACTTGCCCCGACAACAACTGAAGCAACAACCACACCAATCCCGACAACAACTCAAGCAACAACACCTGCCGCAACAACGACTGAAGCAACAACGACACCTTCCCCGACAACAACTGAAACAACAACGGCAGCTGCTCAAACAACGACAACTGTCCCCACAACAACTGAAGCAACGACACCTGCTCCAAACACTGAGGCAACAACAACTGTTCCCACAACAACTGCATCAACAACTGAAGCAACAACACCTACTCCAACAACGACAACTGTCCCCACAACAACTGAAGCAACGACACCTACTCCAACAACTGAGGTGACAACGACATCTACCCCAACAACAACTGAAGCAACAACGACACCTGCTCAAACAACTCAAGCAACAACGACACCTGCTCCAACAGCTGAAGCAACAACCACACCTGCCCTGACAACAACTGAAACAATAATGACATCTTCTCCAACAACCGAAGCAACGACACCTTCCCCGACAACAACCGAAGCAACAACAACTGCACCAACAACGACACGTGCTTCAACAACTGAGGAAACAACAAGTGTCCTGACAACAACTGCATCAACAACGACACTTGCCCCGACAACTACTGAAGAAACAACCACACCAATCCCGACAACAACTCAAGCAACAACACCTGCCGCAACAACGACTGAAGCAACAACGACACCTTCCCCGACAACAACTGAAACAACAACGGCAGCTGCTCAAACAACGACAACTGTCCCCACAACAACTGAAGCAACGACACCTGCTTCAAACACTGAGGCAACAACAACTGTTCCCACAACAACTGCATCAACAACTGAAGCAACAACACCTACTCCAACAACGACAACTGTCCCCACAACAACTGAAGCAACGACACCTACTCCAACAACTGAGGCGACAACGACATCTACCCCAACAACAACTGAAGCAACAACGACACCTGCTCAAACAACTCAAGCAACAACGACACCTGCTCCAACAGCTGAAGCAACAACCACACCTGCCCTGACAACAACTGAAACAATAATGACATCTTCTCCAACAACCGAAGCAACGACACTTTCCCCGACAACAACCGAAGCAACAACACCTGCTCCAACAACAACAACTGTTCCCACAACAACTGCATCAACAACTGAAGCAACAACACCTACTCCAACAACGACAACTGTCCCCACAACAACTGAAGCAACGACACCTACTCCAACAACTGAGGCGACAACGACATCTACCCCAACAACAACTGAAGCAACAACGACAACTGCTCAAACAACTCAAGCAACAACGACACCTGCTCCAACAGCTGAAGCAACAACCACACCAATCCCGACAACAACTCAAGCAACAACACCTGCCGCAACAACGACTGAAGCAACAACGACACCTTCCCCGACAACAACTGAAACAACAACGGCAGCTGCTCAAACAACGACAACTGTCCCCACAACAACTGAAGCAACGACACCTGCTCCAAACACTGAGGCAACAACAACTGTTCCCACAACAACTACATCAACAACTGAAGCAACAACACCTACTCCAACAACGACAACTGTCCCCACAACAACTGAAGCAATGACACCTACTCCAACAACTGAGGCGACAACGACATCTACCCCAACAACAACTGAAGCAACAACGACACCTGCTCAAACAACTCAAGCAACAACGACACCTGCTCCAACAGCTGAAGCAAAGGCACCTTCTCCAACGACTGCACCAACAACGACACCTGCCCCGACAACAACTGCAGAAACAATGACACCTGCTCCAACAACTGAAGCAACAACAACTGCACCAACAACAACACGTGCTTCAACAACTGAGGAAACAACAAGTGTCCTGACAACAACTGCATCAACAACGACACTTGCCCCGACAACAACTGAAGCAACAAACACACCAATCCCGACAACAACTCAAGCAACAACAAATCCTGCCGCAACAACGACTGAAGAAACAACGACACCTTCCCCGACAACAACTGACGCAACAACGGCAGCTGCTCAAACAACAACTGTCCCCACAACAACTGAAGCAACGACACCTGCTCCAAACACTGAGGCAACAACAACTGTTCCCACAACAACTGCATCAACAACTGAAGCAACAACACCTACTCCAACAACGACAACTGTCCCCACAACAACTGAAGCAACGACACCTACTCCAACAACTGAGGCGACAACGACATCTACCCCAACAACAACTGAAGCAACAACGACAACTGCTCAAACAACTCAAGCAACAACGACACCTGCTCCAACAGCTGAAGCAACAACCACACCAATCCCGACAACAACTCAAGCAACAACACCTGCCGCAACAACGACTGAAGCAACAACGACACCTTCCCCGACAACAACTGAAACAACAACGGCAGCTGCTCAAACAACGACAACTGTCCCCACAACAACTGAAGCAACGACACCTGCTCCAAACACTGAGGCAACAACAACTGTTCCCACAACAACTGCATCAACAACTGAAGAAACAACACCTACTCTAACAACGACAACTGTCCCCACAACAACTGAAGTAACGACACCTACTCCAACAACTGAGGCGACAACGACATCTACCCCAACAACAGCTGAAGCAACAACCACACCAATCCCGACAACAACTCAAGCAACAACACCTGCCGCAACAACGACTGAAGCAACAACGACACCTTCCCCGACAACAACTGAAACAACAACGGCAGCTGCTCAAACAACGACAACTGTCCCCACAACAACTGAAGCAACGACACCTGCTCCAAACACTGAGGCAACAACAACTGTTCCCACAACAACTGCATCAACAACTGAAGAAACAACACCTACTCCAACAACGACAACTGTCCCCACAACAACTGAAGTAACGACACCTACTCCAACAACTGAGGCGACAACGACATCTACCCCAACAACAACTGAAGCGACAACGACACCTGCTCAAACAACTCAAGCAACAACGACACCTGCTCCAACAGCTGAAGCAACAACCACACCTGCCCTGACAACAACTGAAACAATAATGACATCTTCTCCAACAACCGAAGCAACGACACCTTCCCCGACAACAACCGAAGCAACAACAACTGCACCAACAACGACACGTGCTTCAACAACTGAGGAAACAACAAGTGTCCTGCAAACAACTGCATCAACAACGACACTTGCCCCGACAACAACTGAAGCAACAACCACACCAATCCCGACAACAACTCAAGCAACAACACCTGCCGCAACAACGACTGAAGCAACAACGACACCTTCCCCGACAACAACTGAAACAACAACGGCAGCTGCTCAAACAACGACAACTGTCCCCACAACAACTGAAGCAACGACACCTGCTCCAAACACTGAGGCAACAACAACTGTTCCCACAACAACTGCATCAACAACTGAAGCAACAACACCTACTCCAACAACGACAACTGTCCCCACAACAACTGAAGCAACGACACCTACTCCAACAACTGAGGCGACAACGACATCTACCCCAACAACAACTGAAGCAACAACGACACCTGCTCAAACAACTCAAGCAACAACGACACCTGCTCCAACAGCTGAAGCAACAACCACACCTGCCCTGACAACAACTGAAACAATAATGACATCTTCTCCAACAACCGAAGCAACGACACCTTCCCCGACAACAACCGAAGCAACAACAACTGCACCAACAACGACACGTGCTTCAACAACTGAGGAAACAACAAGTGTCCTGACAACTGCATCAACAACGACACTTGCCCCGACAACAACTGAAGCAACAACCACACCAATCCCGACAACAACTCAAGCAACAACACCTGCCGCAACAACGACTGAAGCAACAACGACACCTTCCCCGACAACAACTGAAACAACAACGGCAGCTGCTCAAACAACGACAACTGTCCCCACAACAACTGAAGCAACGACACCTGCTTCAAACACTGAGGCAACAACAACTGTTCCCACAACAACTGCATCAACAACTGAAGCAACAACACCTACTCCAACAACGACAACTGTCCCCACAACAACTGAAGCAACGACACCTACTCCAACAACTGAGGCGACAACGACATCTACCCCAACAACAACTGAAGCAACAACGACACCTGCTCAAACAACTCAAGCAACAACGACACCTGCTCCAACAGCTGAAGCAACAACCACACCTGCCCTGACAACAACTGAAACAATAATGACATCTTCTCCAACAACCGAAGCAACGACACTTTCCCCGACAACAACCGAAGCAACAACACCTGCTCCAACAACGACACCTGCCCCGACAAGAACTGAAGCAACGACAACTGTTCCCACAACAACTGAAGCAACACCTGCTCCAACGACAACTGTCCCCACAACAACTGAAGCAACGACACCTACTCCAACAACTGTTTCAACAACGACACCTGCCGCGACAACAACTGAAGCAACAATGACATCTTCCCCAACAATTGAAGCAACAACAACACCTGTTCCAACAACGACAACAGTCCCCACAACATCTGAAGCAACGACATCTACTCCACCACCTGAGTCGACAAGGACACCTGTTCCAACACCTGAGGCAATAACCACACCTGCCCGGACAACTGAAGCAACAATGACATCTCCAACAACTGAAGCAATGGCGACAACTGCCCCGACAACAACTGCAGCAACGACGACTGCCCCTACAACAACTGACGCAACAATGACACCTGCTCAAACAACTCAAGCAACAACGACACCTGCTCCACCAACTGAAGCAACAACACCTGCTCCAACAGCTACGGCAACGACACCTACTCCAACAACTGCAGAAACAACGACATCTACCCCAACAACAAGTGAAGCAACAACGACACCTGCCCAAACAACTCAGGCAACAACGACACCTGCTCCAACAGCTGAAGCAACAACCACACCTGCCCTGACAACAACTGAAGCAATAATGACATCTTCTCCAACAACCGAAGCAACGACACCTCCCCCGACAACAACCGAAGCAACAACACCTGCTCCAACACCGACACCTGCCCCGACAAGAACTGAAGCAACGACAACTGTCCCCACAACAACTGAAGCAACGACACCTACTCCAACAACTGTTTCAACAACGACACCTGCCGCGACAACAACTGAAGCAACAACGACATCTTCCCCAACAGCTGACGCAACAACAACAACTGAGGCAACAACTGTCCTGACAATAACTGCAACAACGACAGCTGCCCCAACAACAACGACAACTGCTCCAACAACTGACGCAACAACGATACCTGCCCCGACAACAACTGAACCAACGATCCCTGCCCCAACAACAACTGAAGGCACGACACCTGCTACAACAACTGAGGTAACAACAACTGTCCTTACAACAACTGCATCAACAACGACACCTGCTCTAACAACTGAATCAACAACGACACCTCCTCCAACTAATGAAGCAAAGGCACCTTCTCCAACGACTGCACCAACAACGACACCTTCCCCGACAACAACTGCATCAACAATGACACCTGCTCCAACAACTGAGGCAACAACAAATGTCCCGACAACAACTGCATCAACAACGACACCTGCTCCAACAACTGAGGCAACAACAAATGTCCCGACAACAACTGCATCAACAACGACACCTGCTCTAACAAATGAAGCAAAGGCACCTTCTCCAACGACTGCACCAACAACGACACCTGTCCCGACAACAACTGCAGAAACAACGACACCTGCTCCAACAACTGAAGCAACAACAACTGCACCAACAACGACACGTGCTTCAACAACTGAGGAAACAACAAGTGTCCTGACAACAACTGCATCAACAACGACACTTGCCCCGACAACAACTGAAGCAACAACCACACCAATCCCGACAACAACTCAAGCAACAACAACACCTGCCGCAACAACGACTGAAGCTACAACGACACCTGCTACAACAACTGAGGTAACAACAACTGTCCTTACAACAACAACGGAAACAACAACGGCAGCTGCTCAAACAACGTCAACTGTCCCCACAACAACTGAAGCAAGGACACCTGCTCCAATAACTGAGGCAACAACAACTGTTCCCACAACAACTGCATCAACAACTGAAGCAACAACACCTACTCCAACAACGACAACAGTCCCCACAACAACTGAAGCAACGACACCTACTCCAACAACTGAGGCAACAACGACACCTGTTCCAACACCTGAGGCAATAACCACACCTGCCCGGACAACAACTGAAGCAACAACAACACCTGCTCCAACAACTGAAGCAACAACGACACCTGCTCCACCTTCTGCGCCAACAACGACACCTGCCCCAAAAACTGAGGCAACAACGACACCTGCCCCGACAACAACTGAAGCAACAACAACACCTGCTTCAACAACTGCAGGAACAACTGAAGCAACAACACCTGCTCCAATAACTGCGCCAACGACACCTGCTCCAACAACTGAGACAACAACGACATCAGCCCCGACAACAACTGAAGCAACAAGGACACAGTCTCCAACAACTGAGGGAACAACAATTATCTCCACAACAACTGCATCAACACCTGCTCCAACAGCTACGCCAACGACACCTACTCCAACAACTGCAGAAACGACACCTTCTCAAGCAACTCAAGCAACAACGACACCTGCTCAAACAACTCAAGCAACACTGAAACCTGCTCCAACAGCTGAAGCAACAACCACACCTTCCCCGTCAACAACTAAAGTAACAACGACATCTTCTCCAACAACCAAAGCAACGACACCTTCCCCGACAACAACTGAAGTAACAACAACTGTCCCGACAACACCTGAAGCAACGACACCTGCTCCAACAACTGCGCCAACAACGAAACCTGCCCCGACTACAACTGAACTAACAACAACACTTGCTCCAACATTTGAAACAACAACGACACCTGCCCCAACAACACCTGAAGCAACAACAACACCTGCTCCAACAACTGAAGCAACGACACCTGCTCCAACACCTGCAGAAACAACGACACCTTCCCCGACAACAACTGAAGCAATGACGACAACTGCCCCGACAAAAACTGAAGCAACAACGACACCTGCTCCACCAACTGAGGCAACCACACCTGCTCCAACAACTGTGGGAACAACAACAACTATCTCCACAACAACTGCATCAACAACTGAAGCAACAACACCTGCTCCAACACCTGCTCCAACAACTGCGCCAACGACACCTGCTCCACCAACTGCGGTAACAACGACACCAGCCCCAACAACAACTGAAGAAACAACAACATCTCCAACTGAAGCAACAACACATTCTCCAACAACTGAGGGATCAACAACTATCTCCACAACAACTGCATCAACACCTGCTCCAACAGCTACGCCAATGACACCTACTCCAACAACTGCAGAAACGACATCTGCCCCGACTACAACTGAAGCAGCAACGACACCTGCTCAAACAACTGAAGCAACAACGATATCTTCTCCAACAACCGAAGCAACGACACCTGCCCCGACAACAGCTGAAGCAACAACACCTGTCCCGACAACAACTGAACTAACAACGACACCTGCTCCAACACCTGAAGCAATAACCACACCTGCCCCGACAACAACGGAAGCAACAACAACACCTGCTCCAACAACCGAAGCAACAACGACACCTGCTCAAACAACTCAAGCAACAACGACACCTGCTCCAACAACTGAAGCAACAATGACATCTTCTCCAACAATCGAAGCAACGACACCTGCCCCTACAACAACTGAAGCAACGACACCTGCCCCAACAACAACTGCACCAACAACAACAACTGCCCCGACAACAACTAAAGCAACAACGACACCTGCTCAAACAACTCAAGCAACAACAACACCTGAATCAACAACCACACCTGCCCCGACAACAACTGAAGCAACAACGACATCTTCTCCAACAACCGAAGCAACGACACCTGCTCCAACAACTGAAACAACAACGACACCTGGCCCGACAACAACTGAAGCAGCAACGACTACTGCAACAACTGTTCAGACGACATCTGCCCCGACAACAACTGCACCATCAATGACAATTTCCCCGACAACCAAGCAAACAACGTCGTCTTCTCCAGCAACGGATGCAACAGCGACACCTGCTCCACCAACTGAAACAACAACGACACCTGCCCCGACAACAACTGAAGCAGCAACAACTACTGCAACAACTGTTCAGACGACATCTGCCCCAACAACAACTGCACCATCAATGACAATTTCCCCGACAACCAAGCAAACAACGTCGTCTTCTCCAGCAACGGATGCAACAGCGACACCTGCTCCAACGACACCTGCTTCAACAACTGCACCTATAACATATACAACCGGTGCATTTACAACTTCCACATCTAGTTCTACTGCACCTGCAACTACTACAACTGTAGCACTCATTACAACAGCAGTGACTTTCAGATCTCTTCAAAGCACATTTACAAGTGACTTGAACAATGCATCATCTGCAGCATTTAGAGATCGAGTTTCAATGATAAAGTCACAGGTAAGTCAAACTCTTAAAAAATCTTCTGGTACAATTACTGGAGCTCAGTCCCCCAACACTTTAAATACAGCTAATACTCTTTTTACTTAGTATTTACTTTTTGTATCTTTCTAGGTTTGTCTCTTTCTAGGTGTTAATTTTTTCCAAATGTTTGTTTTCCAGTAAGTAACCAGTATTTACAAAAATAGTATAATTTACTTACTCAGTTGTTCTATAGTCCTAGTCCTATAGTCTTGTTTATAAGTAAATACTTAATTAAAAGTTGATTCATACAACAGAATTAGATTGTAAATTGCAATTTTTATTATAAAGTGTTACCACTGTTATCATTAAAACCAAGTTTCTTAAAGTATCAATAACCTTAAAAAATAAGCATTAAGGCATGCTAAACTTCAATAATTGTACTTTATCTGATAAAACATATAGGGCCTGATTTACTAAACACACCCGTAATGAAAGAAAACCTAGAGAAATTAACAATATTAGATAATATTATTCTATATCCAAGTATTGAAATACAGTTATTTTATTTTATTTATTCGATGAAATATATGAATTGAATTGTTGTTTTTTTGTTCCTTTAGCTTTGGCAATACGGTTATATTAACATTCATGCCAATAAAGCACATTTCGTTTCGACCTGACTTCTTTTCTCCGTGAGATGGAAGAATTTGCACTGCATGGATTACACGTAAAATTCATCCAGCCAGAGGAAACAATCACCAACGGTTCACAGCACGGCGGTTGTAATAGCGACACAACTCATTGTAGGTATCGGAGAGGGAATCGGGCGTGGGACAGGAGATCACGGAGCGGAGGGTCGATGATTATTCCCTCTGGCTTTATGAAGCACAATCTGCTGGCATTTCCTCGCGTCTGGGTCATTCCAGCATACTGTACCTATTTCTGCTGGGGTTTCCCAAAGCAGTTTGTCAGGTGTGCTGTCAGACGCACTGAATGAAACAAACCAAGGTTTTTACGCAGTGGCTGCTTTCCCTCCCGACTTTATGCCGGAAAACATTAAAACATGCAAAACCCCTCATTTAAGTACTGACACCTCCATTGTGTTTGCTCCTGTTGTCATCTACGCAATAATATTTAGTAAATCACCCATAACAGGTACTAAAATTGCACGTGCAATATTTTAGAATGCACACGAAATTTAGTACTCTTTATTCTGGATGTTAGTAAATCGATGGTACGATGAATTGAAACACGGATTGTGAATGGTCAATTCCCCAAGTAGAAATTCCCCACATAGAAAGGAATCGCACACCCGTTGAAAAAATGTGCACACTGCCCAGAAATACACATGAAGAAATGTAATGCTTCTGCAAAAAATGAATAGGAAATCTATTTTTTTTTAATCCTGTAGTGGTTCTAATCATTATTTTTCCTCCTGTCTGTCTCTCTCCTGGAGCAGTCTTTCTTCGCTACAGAATTGACAGAAAATAAAAGAAAAAGAAAAAACTGTAAAATAAGGAAAAACTTTTACTCTTGCTAGACAGTCTATGAAAGAGATATCAAGGGTTAAATATAATGACAAACTAGAATATTTGCATTTTTTTTGCTGCTGCAGAATAATAATAATTATTATATGAAATAAAGAGTGAAGATAACTAAACTACACCTCCAGCTCACTGTACAACTTAGGCAAACATATATGTGAAACGTGTTTAAGTACGATTTGTTTTCTGTTCCTGCAGCTTGAACCTGTGTTCCTAAAGGCATTCCCTTCCTCCTTCTTGTCCTTGGACGTGGTGTCATTCAGGTAATTTGTTAAAAATTACAGTGTTACAATTTAAAAATTGGCCAAAATCTGATTTTTTAAAAATATTTTATGTTTCTCCATCTGCAGAAGTGGATCAGTCATCAATGACATGAACCTTCTCTTTGCAAGCACATCTGTTCCTAATAATACTGAGATTAGGAGGGTTTTGATCAATGATAGTTTAAACGTCACTGGCTTCGACATTGAAAGGAGCTCAATCAAAGTGAATGGCACAACTGCTCAAACAACCGAAGCAACAACGACCCCTGCCCTGACAACGACAGTTACATCAACGACACCTGCTCCACCAACAACTGCTGCACCAAACACGACTTTGGCCACTCCACCTATTTACCTTATCTCAATCATTTTGGAAATTTCTTTTTCAATTGACCTCACTAACCCCAACAGCAGTCCATTCAAAGATCTTGAGCAACGAGTTGTAGCTACGGTGAGTAATTTGAACCAAATTGAACAAATTACTGACCGTGAGAATGTTACACATGATTACACACAAATGTTTAGCTGAAGGGCACATTTGTTAAGCTGGAAATTAATTTCATGTACATTTTCATTTCAATTCAATTTAATTTTAAAACAATTGTGCTCGAAAGATACTCAAGGGTTTTTGATGTTGCTTTTTCTTGCAGTGTGAGTTCATATACAGACCAAGATTTGTTCAGTTTGACCACTGTATTGTGACACTGTTCAGGTAAAAACATTTTTCTAATAGTAGTTCAGTGGTGTTTTGTATTCAGATGTATGGTCTTAAAATTGGTACTGTCTTGTGTAAATCACCCATAACAAATGGCAACAGAATCACCCCATATTTTTATTTGACATTTGGTTTCTTGAAACAGGAGTGTTCCAATTCGAGCCGATGTAACTGAAGCAGAGTTGCAGGTTGTGTTCAATCAGACAACTCGCTTTGAAGAACTCCCACAGAACAGTGTCGTTGCTCAAACCTTAGTAGAAGCTGTGAGTAATACCAACAACAGCTTCAATGTGACCATAAATCCCAACAAAGTCATTCTAATAGGTATGTAAACACAACACAATGTATTGCTCTAATCAGTATGTAAAAAAATTGAAATAATGAGCTGCTCATGCAGTTTTTAAATAAGTTATTGAAATATTATGCTGCTGCACAGGAAACAAAGCTATAGACGAGGTTCATTTAAAAAAAAATGTGGCATGACAAGCTAATTTATAGCTACCTTGTATTTAGCCAGAATATGTGTAATAATAATTTGTTATTAACTGTAAGATTTTTGATATTAGCAAATTCGAACTAGACAAGAAGCTAAAAAGTCTACAGAGCCAACTCTTTCTATGCCCTTTATGATGGTCCTTGTAAATCAGTTAAACTGGCAACAAAGTCAGTTTTACACCAAACAAATTATTTTTGGTTTCAATACTTATTAACTTATTCTTTTTTATGTTTTACAGAAGGTCCAGTTCCATCTACAACTACCACACCTGCAACTACCATATCTACTTCTACTGCACCTGCAACTACCACATCTACTACTACAGCACCTGCAACTACCACATCTACTACTACAGCACCTGCCACTACCACATCTACATCTACCACACCTACAACTGTAGCACTCATTACAACAAGGGTGACTTTCAGATCTCTTCAAAGCACATTTACAAGTGACTTGAACAATCCATCATCTGCAGCATTTAAAGATCGAGTTTCAATGATAAAGACACAGGTAAGTCAAACTCTTAAAATAAAATCTTCTGGTACAATTACTGGAGCTCAGTCCCCCATTCAGAGAACTGAAATGTTAAAATACAGCTAATACCCTTTTTACTTTAGTATTTATTTTTGTATCTTTCTAGGTCTGTATATTTCTAGGTTAAATCTTTCCAAAAGTTTGTTTTCCAGTAAGTAACTAGTATTGACAAAAATAGTGTTATTTACTCCATTGTTCCCTATAGTCTTGTTAATAAGTAAATACTTTATGAAAACTTGATTCATGGATGGTGCTGGTCAATTCCCCAGGTAGAAATTCCCCACAATGTAAGGAATGGAATTCCAGTTGAAAAAATGTGCACACTGCCCAGAAATACACATGAAGACACTTAATGTTACTGCGAAAAATGAATAGGTCATCATGAATTCTTTTTTGAATCCTGTTGTGGTTCTCATCATTATTTTTCCTCCTGTCTGTCTCATGGACACAGTTCTCTGCACTACAGAAAGTACAGAAAAAAAAGAAATAAAACTGTAAAATAAGGGAACATACATTTTTCCTCTTGCTAGAAAGTCTATAAAAGAGATATCAAGGGGTATATATAATGACAAACTAGAATATTTGCATTTTTTATGCTGCTGCAGAAGAATAATTATATTAAATAAAGAGCAAAGATAACTAAACTACACCTCCAGCTCACTGTACAACTTAGGCAAACATATATGTAAAAAAAGTACAATTTGTTTTCTGTTTCTGCAGCTTGAACCTGCGTTCCAAAGGGCATTCCCTTCCTCCTTCAGTTCCTTGGACGTGGTGTCATTCAGGTAATTTGTTAAGACTTACCGTGTTACAATTTCAGAGTAGTGACCAAAATCTGATATTTCAAAATTATTTTGTGTTTTTCCATCTGCAGAAGTGGATCAGTCATCAATGACATGAACCTTCTCTTTGCAAGCACATCTGTTCCTAATAATATTGAGATTTGGAGGGTTTTGATCAGTGAACGTTTAAACGTCACTGGCTTTGACATTGAAGGCATCTCAATCACCGTGAATGGCGCCCGTAAGCTATATTGTGTTCTACTTCTTCAAAAATGTCAAAACTTTGAACAACTGTTTATTTAACTAATGTTTTGTTTACTTTTTACAGAATTTACAGAATCAAGTGGAGTGAGCCACAAGATCAGTCTCATTACTGCATCCTGCCTGGTACTGTTGTCATGGATACTATCAAGCCAGCAATAGCATCAGTGCTGATTACCATTTGAATTGCCAGCAGACTATGACTGCCATTACTGGTATGAACAAGGACTTTGTTGTTGGTAAAAATCCAAGATTCATGATTGTCTTTGCTCTTGTATGTAGAATGACACAGCCAACTTTAAGCACCTGGCCCATTGAATCATCACTACAATAACAACCTAAACAAAATAACAATACTGTCTGTTAAGCCCTGGGATGTCAGAAATGGTTGCACTCTTTGACTTTTTATATAAAATGTAATGTATAAATGCATCTTGCTTCTCTGAGCACTGTGCTATAGCAATATTTAACTGTCAGTTAGTACTAATGCTGTTCTTAAGTCATGCTAAACAAGTTAAATCAGCCACACTGGAAAGTAAAATCACTGTCACCATTGTATGAAAGATATTCAAATGTGAGATGTCTGTGAAGTTAGTTGTCATCAACACAGTCTTGTCTTTCTACAAGCAAAGATGATTCAAAATGGTGTTGTTTTACTCTGACTTTAAAACTATCTAAACCTTTGTGAAATTCATGTTTAGGTTTCATTTACAAATACAGCAACATAACAGCTCTATAGTGAGCATATTGTAAAGCAATCAAGAGAACAAATTAAATGAAGGCACACATGCAGCTAGAAGTTGGCTGCACACCCCAACCCAGAACCACCTTATAAAGTTTTATCAAAGATCATGGTACATAATTTAAAACAATACACTGTTGATTTTGTTAGTATACACATTGTATTTATGTAATCAAGTATAGCTATATTATTTGAGACTATTGTGGTTTCTATAATTTCAAAATCAAAAACTTTACAATGATCAGAATGCAAATTCTTTTGTGAATTTAAATTGTCTCTTGTGTGAGGTTTTCCAATTTTGGTGGGTAAAGAGAAAATGTATCAGGGCATGTTTAACCTTGTACAATTCCTGTACAATTAAAATGCTTAACCAAGCCATACCCAAAGTAAATTGAATGCTGTTGAATGATTTTGAGAAAATGCATGGTTTGGGCTTCTTTGAAAAATAACACTCTGAAGTTTCCAACCCAACAGTAAGAATCACAGAAAGTGCTACTGGCACTGAGTAATATAAGTCTGAACACACACAACATGAAGCCTTATTTAGCCCAATTTAAAATTGTATAACTATAAAGCAGAAAGTGAATATTTTAATTATGTTTTTCTAATGGTCAGTACATCAATGAATGCTTCCATTTTACTGTTTGAATAGACACATAGATCAGCTTTAGCTGTTTTCTCCAAACAATGACATGAGTTTTGAGCAAGCTAGGAGAACAAACATATATGTACTTGAGATTCAACCTGAAAGGGCGAAACCTTGGTTAATTTATGTTTTATCATTATCAACCTATGGTGTGGAATTGTTGCTTGTACGACGACTTTTGTGACCGAAACTTAATTTTTTAAAATTCTTACTTAAGTCTGAACGACCATTGTTGGCATCTTCACCTGAGGCCAAGAGGAAATGCTTGTTCAGTTTCCTGGGAAGTGAGGAAAGGACAACATTGTAAGAGGGGGATAAGTGGTGGCGTAGACCCCCTCCTCTGTTCAACAACGGCTTCTCACTCCGTGTGTAAATGGCTTCCCTGACACCTTTTTCAAACATCCATCTTCTCTCTCTAAAATGTGCATGTGGTGATCCTCAAACGAGTGTCCTCTGTCCTGAGGAGTTAGCCCTTCTGTGTCGAGCCATGCATTTGTGTAGTGGTTGTTTAGTTTCCCCAATGTACAGCTCTGTGCATTCCTCACTGCATTGGATCGCATACAGTAGATTGCTAAAAGGTACAGATACATGGTGTATTGGAAACACAAAGCCTCATAACTATTCTGTGAGAAAGAGATAAGATCAGGTACCCAGAGTGTATGTAGACCCTGGAACATATGCACTGTGTATGGAAAGCAAGGCTGTGTAGGTAGTGACATCAAATGTGCCAGACCCAGATAGTTTTGTCAGTTTAAACTTAAAACACTTACAACTGTCAAGATGTTGGTGAGAAAATTCTGAAAAAAATCACGCATCATTCTGCCGATTTTGGGTGTGTTGTGAATTATTTTGGTGGCATTTGATCCAATCCAAGACAATGTTGTACTGTAAAAGTAACAGCAAGATACTGAATACCACTACAGACTCACCGTTTCACTGATCTGAAAACCCTTTGAAACACTTGATATCGGCAATCTGGAGAATGTCTGTGGGTCGAGTTTGGAAGCGTTTGAAGAAAGACTTGCGGCGCTATAGATGTTAATTGTGAGTGACTGACTTCTGAATTGACCATAGGTTGTAGTGAGGAAAACGTTTGTCACATATCAGTGGATGTGCTGAAAAAAGTTCAGCTCTCTAGGACGTACAGGTTATTTTCTTAGATTTTTAGAAGTTTGGAATGAGAAATGTCTAGAAATGTACATTTCTTGCAATAAGCCACGCTCACTTTGCGCAATCATAACCAAATTTTATACATGAACTGAGTAGTGACCCTAGATCGTCTAAACCCGAATTTTGTACAAATCCATGCAGCAAATTACGAGGTATAAACTTTTTCCAAGTGTAATGCAGCCTAGTGGAAGAATATCCCAGGACTGCTCAGCAAAGCTCGAGCCGAGCATCTGAACAGATGGGTCAAGTTTGGTGACAATGGCTTAAGCCAATTTTGATTTATGGGCATTTATGTAAAATACAGAAAAGTAAAAATTTGTGAAAACAAAAAACAGACTGACGTATCAAAATTCTTTTGATAACTTTTCATCAGCGACGCCCATAGATGATCCTGCCAAAGTTTCAGGTCGATTGGTGAAACCGTCTGGGATGAGTTCGCAAAAACATGTTTTAGAGAAAAGTGATAAAAAAGTCGTATATATTTAGAGCAGAAGACCACTGGAGCAAAGATGCAAATGAATCCAGAGATTAAAATAATGAAAGAAGTTTGACTCCAAGCCATTTTCGAGATAATTGCTAAAATGCAAAGTTGATTGTTATAGCGCTACCATGAGGGCCATTTTTTTGCCTGATTAGTGGGTGGAATTTGCAACCTATGTGCCAATTTTGGTGAGTTTTTGTCCAGCAGTTTTTGCTGCCCAAACACTTTCAGCAAAGAGAGAAAGAAAGAAAGAACCTAAAACCTTAAGAGCTAATGGTGTATGATCAGAACGCTCCAAGGGGCACATGCCCTGAGAAAAAGCCTGTCTGAGTGTTCTATAGATGTCTTAGAGCACGTACAATGTCTAAAAATATGTGTCCAGGAAAGGAAAACATGGGAACCAGAACATAAGGGAGTCAAATATTATAGGAGCAAGGCTCAAAATAACCATTGGGTAGTGCCGGAGGGGACTAATAGGAATAAAATTAGACCAGTAGAACTCAGAAGGCTATAATAAATTAAAAAGTGAGACCCCACCTGTCCTAGGGTGAGTCAAGGGCTATGTATTGAAAAACTTTGCATCATGTTTTTCCAGTGTGTCTTGTCGGTCTGCTAAGGCTTACTCAGGTTTTGTCTTGTTTTGTATAGGCGGACTGCGGTCCGGATCCGGACCCAGCCGCTGTACTGTTCAGCCCCGGATGTGCGGCCGATCTATTATTGAGACTTACTACCTCGCGACAAAGCGTTTCTATTTTAACCTGCGCAGCTTTTCTAGCATTTACTGTCCTGGTTTAGTGGCCCAGGAAACTCACAGACCAATTGCATGTGTTCCAGTT